AGAGACAGAGAGACAGAGAGACAGAGAGACAGAGAGAGAGAGCGAGCTAGTGTCTCTAGTCTGAGACTTCAGTCCCCAGCACTCTTCCCACCCTGGTAGGTACTAAGCAAAGCCCAAAGCCAGGGACTTTCTGATTACAGAATGTAGTGAATTAAACTGCTGAGTGAATGGGTAGATAAAACCTGAGTGACTGACTTGGCCAGGCCAGCGGAGTACACACAACTTGAATGGTCTCTAGGACCTGGACATCCACCTTCTGCTAGGGATGTGCTTAGAGGGAACAGGTGGGGATGGCACAGTTCATTGCCTCAATTCTCTCCTGCATTACCAGCCACTCACTGTTCTGACTCAGGGGACCTTGAGGCAGGCTCTACAGATAAGCTCAACTCTTGAAGCTCCCAAGGGTTGGGCCCCAGGGCTGTGCCGAGATCCAGACCCAATATCAGCGAAAGCCACATCCCAGGCCACTGCAGGGGTGCTGGCACAACTCCCAGGTTCCTAGAGGGTTGGGGTTCTGGGAGAGTCCAAGGTCTGAGCTGTGCTTCCTTCCACAGGGCGGCTCTTTCGGCCGTGGCACAGACATCAGGGGTGACTGCGATGTGGAGCTTGTCGTCTTTTATAAAGTCCTCAGAGACTTCAAGGGCCAAAGATCCCAACAAGCAGAGATCCTGCGTGATATTCGAACACAGCTGCAGGCCTGGTGGCAGGAACCATTGTCTGGACTGAGCCTCCAGTTCACTGAACAGAATAGGCCCAACGCTTTGCAACTGCGGCTAGTGTCCACAGACCTCAGCAGCTGGGTGGACATCAGTGTGCTGCCCACCTTCGATGCTGTGGGTAAGAGAGTGGTGGGAGCACAGGAGCAGGGACCATGGAACAGGGGGTACTGGCTATACTCCTTGGGACTCACCAAGCACTGAAAATCCCTCTGGGAGATGAGTGTTTGCCTGTGTGCTACATGCATGCTGTACCTGTAGGAGCCACAAGAGAGTTACAGAAGCTCGTGAGCCACCAGGAATCAAACCCAAGTCCTCTGCAAGAACAACAAACGTTTTTAGCCACTGAGCCATCTCTCCAGCCCAGTTTCAAGTCATTAAAGTGCTAAATCCCTCATCCCTGAGACCCCCCTCCATCATGGTGGACCACTTCCTCATCTGTGACTTATTACTGAAGGTTCACAGGTAGATAGGACATTTCTCTCACCCACTGAGCCATCTCTCCAGCCTCATGAACCCCTTTTATAGGTGAGAAAGCTGAGACCCAAAGAGGCAGTCCACATAGATTGGATTTGAACCCAGGCCTGTCTTGTCCAGAATCCATTACAGAGTTAGGGGGAGGTAGTGAAAACTATGAACCAGATGGCATATACCTATAATCCCAGCACTTGGAAGGCTGACGCAGGAGGACTGCTGCAAGTTCCAGGCCAGCCTGGGTTACATCTTGCACTGATGCTAAGACAGATTACTAGTTTTGATGTTATCTGATTTTTAGCTCTCGGCTGGCAGCAGTGTTGAGTCATTAGTGCTGAACTTAATTACACCAATAACTGCATGGGTAGGCTTGTGGCTGCTCATATTCTGTGCTTCTGCAGGGCAGCTGAATTCCAGCGACAAACCTCAGCCCCAGGTATACTCCTCCCTCCTCAGCAGCGGCTGCCAGGCTGGGGAGCACGCAGCCTGCTTCACAGAGCTCCAAAGGAACTTCGTGAACAAGCGCCCGGTCAAGCTTAAGAACCTGATGCTACTGGTTAAACACTGGTACCGCCAGGTGAGCACCCTGCCCTGCCCGAGAAGCTGCCACTGTCACGGTCATCATCTCTGAGTGCCTATGCTAGTCCCTATCATCACCTCTTTTCAAGTCGGGCTCTACCCTGAGCAGCTTCTAGAACCTTCTCCTGTGAAGGCTAGCTCTCATTTGTGCCACTGACATGAACAAAAAAAAACCAGCTCTGCCCTCAAAGGGGATAAAAGTTAGTATAACCTGGACTGGAATATGAGCAGCCAGGTTTAGGTCACCAAATTCCATGTCCCATGAGGACAGTTTCATGACACTTTATGGTAACAGGATAAAGAAAACCTAAGTAAGCCAGGTGTGATGGCCCATACCTTTATCCCAGCACTTGGTAGGCAGAGGCAGGCAGATCGCTGTGAGTTGCAGGACTGCATAGAGAGGCCCTGTATCAAAAACACTACAAAGAAGAAAAAAAGAAAGAAAAGTCATAGCAGTTCTGAAATACAATGGTGGGTAACAGCAAACAGAGATAGCTTTGCTATAGCCTGATACGCTATTGATAACAATTTTAGCCTTTGGGTTAGTGGAAGCTAGCTGTCAAATCAACACATCCCAAAAGGTTTCTTGTAATAGTCACAGGGATGATAAATCAGATCCAGAGTTGGACAATGAATGGCTGTTAAGGGTGCTAAAGATAAACCCAGGATCTGAACCTTCAACATTCCAACCTCCTCATAATCACTGATGCTCTGGTCAGTCAGTGAAGCAGCCCTGTAGGTGGCCCTTAGTCCACAATCACTGTGTTTTTGTCACACACCTGCCAGAGCCCACACTCGCCACCTGCGGGATGGGTGATGAGATGCCGTGATGGACAGATTGCAGCACCCATTCCTGTACAGCTCCTCATACTCCTTGAGGGAGGCCCCCACCTAAATCTGAGCTTCCTGACTCACAGTCTAACCTGGACAAGTCACAACCCTCCTGCAGACCTCAGTTTCCCCAATCTGTAAAAGCATCATCCAGGCTGTCTTTGTGACCCAGTTCTTCTGAAGTTCAGTTTTACACACCTCCACCTCTCCCTAAGTCCCAAGGGCCAGGTGACCACGTTGACTGATCTCTGGTTGGCTGACAGGTTGCCGCTCGAGATAAAGGAGGAGAGGCAACGGGCACCACTCTGCCCCCAGCCTATGCCCTGGAGCTCCTGACAATCTTTGCCTGGGATCAAGGCTGTGGGAAAGAGGGGTTCAGCATGGCTGAAGGCCTTCGGACCATCCTGAGGCTGATCCAACAGCACCAGTCACTCTGTGTCTACTGGACAGTCAACTACAGCGTGCAGGACCCAGTCCTCAGAGCACACCTTCTCAGACAGCTTCAGAAAGCCAGGTGAATGCACGCTCCCCAGTGCCCCCACAACCCCATCTTCCCCCTCCTTCCTGGAGTCTGTGTACCTGGGAGAGACCATGGTAGGCTTTGGATCATCCATCCCATACCCCCATTCCTCCACCCCCCCACCCCCCTACCCCTGCCTGCTCTGCATTCTGATGAGGAAGCATAGACATTGGTTGTCCCAGAGGACTCCAGAGCCCATTTGATTAGCACAATTAAATGCCATTAGAGTTAAGGGCCCTGAGAGCTCTCTGACTGAGGCAGCTGGCTTGAACTCCATCTAATGTTCCTTTTGGCCCCTCCCAGCTGCTCATCACTGACTGTCCTTCCCTGCCTCCATCTGCTCTGTCCCCAGGCCTCTAGTCCTGGACCCTGCGGACCCCACCTGGAATGTGGGCCAGGGCAGCTGGAAACTGTTAGCTCAGGAAGCAGCAGCCCTGGAGTCACAAGTCTGCCTTCAGAGTGGAGAGGGGACTCCTGTGCCACCCTGGGATGTGATGGTAAGAGACAGCGCCCTGGGGTCACTAGGGCCACTGGAATGACCCAGAGGGTAAAATGCTTACTCACAAGCCTGACAGCCTGAGTTCACTTCCCAGAACCTGAATGAAGGGGGAGGGAGGGAACTGACCCCACAGATGATCTGCAGTGCGCGTGCGCGCGCGCACACACACACACACACACACACACACACACACACACACACACACATACACACACACCATGCACATCATATGTCACATAATAAATGTAACGTCTTAATTTTTTAAGGAGAAAGGACACTGGAGTGGTAGGCACTGTAGGCTCCCCTCCAGGTCTCTTCATTGCCAGGATACACCTCCCCAGTCACTAGGAATGCTGATGGTGACAGCTGCCCCTCCTCTGGAGAGCTGATCTCAGCCACTGCCTGGATGACAGTTGGAAACAACAAACTGCCTTTATATAGAGTTCAGTCCTCACCCCAGAGCTCCCTAAGGCCAAAGCCTGTGCCTCACTGAACCCCAGCTTCTCATTGCATCCACCCTCGTCTGCCTCCCTTGTCTTAGCTGGCTTTCTGTTGCTGTGATAACACCATGACTGAAAACAACTTGAGGAGGAGCCAGTATTTGGCTTAGGCTCCCACATCACAGCCCACCACTGAGGGAAGACAAGGCAGGAACCTGGAAGCAGAAGCTGAAGCAGAAGCCATGGAGGAGTGATGCCTACTGGCTTGTTCCTCGTGGCTTGCTCAGAGCACCCAGGACTGCCTGTGCAGGGGTGACACCACGTACAGTGGGCTGGGCCCTCCTACTCCAACCGTTAATCAGGAAAATGCCCACAGGCTTACCTGTGGGCCAATGTGAGGGAACATTTTCTCAGTTGAGGTTCCCTCTTCCTAGGTGACTCTGGATCTTGTCAAGTTGACAAAACTACACTGAGCAGTATCTTCCCTGTGCCCCATCTCTAAGTGAGGCCCCAGTCAAATATTCAGGCTTTGCATTTGGAGAAAACCCAAGACATAAGCTATCTGCAGCTGCGGTCTTAATCCATTTCTGTGACTATAGCAAAAGGCCTGAAGTCAGGCAACTATTGTGGAGAAGGTAGCTCAAGGTTATGGCAGTGGCATGGACTGGGCTGTGCTGAGGATGCCATCGTGGACAGTGTCACAGCTGGGGCAGTGTGTGTTAAAGGAACATAGCATGTGCCAAGAGAGGGTGCCACTGGGCTACTTAGGGCCAGGCTGGCTCTTGTCACATCTCCCTGTCAGAACTCACTCAGGATTCCCTGAGGATTATCTTAACTCCACCTTGAGGCATATTCTACAAGGCTCCACCTAAAAGGCAGCCCCCTCCCCACTGACAATGCCCGAATCTTTGAAAGACAAATCATACCTGGACCACAATCAATACAATCTTACTCCATTTGTTTAACACACAAGATCCACTGAGATGGGGAGAGGTGGCCATACCCATTTAAAGATGAGGAAACTGAGGCTGCATGTCAGTGGTAGAAAAACAGATCTGGAACTCAGGCCCCTCCCATGCCAGCCAGAGGGGAAGAACAGTGGCTATGGGAGACTTGGGAGACTGCAGGAGCATCATCATTTCCTGATGTTGAAGGCCAGCACTTGGGTGTCCCTACTCCAGCCAACCCTGATCATTTCTTTCCGTAGCCAGCCCTTCTTCACCAGACCCCATCTGCAGACCTGGACAAGTTCATCAGTGAATTCCTCCAGCCCGACCGCCATTTCCTAAAGCAAGTGAAGAAAGCAGTAGACACCATATGTTCCTTCCTGAAGGAAAACTGCTTCCAGAATTCTCCCATCAAGGTGCTCAAGGTGGTTAAGGTAAGACCTGGGGAGCTGCAGGTGAGGGGGCTCCTGTGGGCTGGGACCCCCTCTCCAGCCACCTGGTGGGCTCTAGTGATGTCCATGTCTGCAGCAAAGGAACAGGTGGCTGATCCAACTGGAAGCTGGAGAGTGTCCACTTGTAGGCACAGAACAATCCAGGGGCATCCTCAGGGTACCAGGGCTGGCTGTTCTCTCTGGTTCTTGGATCTGCTTTTCTCTTTCTTTTTAAACTAAAACCACTAGAAATTTATCAACAACCCTAGTGATAGTCAACCATCTGATTTCCATGCAAATCTACAAAACTGGCTTGACTGTGTATGTCTTCCCATGTGGCAGCCCTTGGGAGTGCTAAACCTCCAGACAGAGGGGTTCTCTTTTCCTGGGAGGAACATTGCTTGTCTGAGAGAGAGCTTACCTGGCATGCAAGAATCCCTGGGTTCCATCCCCAGCACTGCATGAACTGGGCTTGGTGGGGCGTGCCTGTGATACCCAAACTCCAGAGTAGAGAAAAGACCACCCCTGGGACTCCCTGGCCAGTCAGCACAGCTGGACTGGTGAGCTCCAGGCTAGTGAGAGACCTTGTCTCAAAATAATAAGAATAGTAATGAGATTGATGGAGACACCAGTGTCCACCTCTGACCTCCATATGCGTGCACACACAGGCTGTGGGACATCAAAGGCACTTCAGAGCTCAAGCCTCCTTCCGTGTCCTCCATAGGGTGGTTCTTCTGCCAAAGGCACGGCTCTACAAGGGCGCTCGGATGCTGACCTAGTGGTATTCCTCAGCTGCTTCCAACACTTCTCTGAGCAAGGCAGCCGTCGGGCAGAGATCATCTCAGAGATCCGGGCTCAGCTGGAGGCATGCCAGCGGAAGCAGAAGTTTGATGTCAAGTTTGAGATCTCCAACAGGAAGAATCCCCGGGTGCTCAGCTTCTCCCTGACATCCCAGACACTGCTGGACCAGAGTGTGGACTTTGACGTACTGCCAGCCTTCGATGCTCTCGGTGAGGTTCCCAGACATAAACTGGAGATGGGGAAGAACGCAGGCAGGGTAGTTTCAGGCGGTCCTAGAGACTGTGTAACCAGCCACACATCTATTCATGTCACGGGCATGAGAGACACACAGATTTACCATAACTCTCCTACGGTGTGTGGTGAGGCCCACTATTGATTCCTACAAGGATGCTGGGTCCTGGCTTGGTGATTAAGAGCACATACTGCTCTTGCAGAGGACCTGTCTTGGCTACCGTTCTATTGCTGTGAAGAGACACCATGGCCAAGGCAAAGAAAGCACTTAATTGGGGGTTGCCTTACAGTTTTGGAGGGTTGGTGCATTGTCATCATAGAGGGGTGTATGACAGCAGGCAAGCGCCTGAGAAGTAGCTGAGAGTTTACATCCTGATCCCCAGGAATGGGGGTGGGGGTGGGGGGATCTGGAGTGGGTGTTTGAAACCTCAAAGCTCACTCCCAGTGACACACCTCTTCCAACAAGGCCATACCTCCTAATCTTTTTCTAACAGCCCTACCATCTGGTGACTAAGCATCTAAATATATTAGCCTATGAGGGGGCATTCTCATTCAAATCACCACAGGACCCAAGTTCAGTTCCCAGTGAACACACACACACACACACACACACACACACACACACACACACACACACAGAGAGAGAGAGAGAAAGGAAAGGAAAGGAAAGGAAAGGACATGACTTCTCCTAGGTATGGTGGAGGAGAAAGTTTATTGCAGATAAAAGGGAGAGCATAGCCAGAGGTGGGGACATCTGAGAGAGTCCAGAGTGGACATGTCAGGCTGAGCTGGGCCATGTGGGGAGAGAGGAGAATCGGGTGCAGCAGTCAGGAGGCCAAAGGTACAAAAGAGAGCAGGTAACCAAAATGTCTGGGTTATATAGGGAAGAGCCTCTGGGGGAAGGGCGTCCCCTACCCCAGGCTGGGGAGTTCAGGATACAGGTGGGGTATGCCAGCTATACCCTGAGACAGGTGGGACTTCGGATTCTGGGAGAACCTGGGGGCCAGGTCCACTTTGATATGTTAAATAGGACCTCACTTAGCCTTTGACCCAGGTTTGAGCCTTAACCTGTAGCACCCACATACTTCCTAGATGAGACAGGCAGGCATCTAGATGTTATATGGGCTCTGGTTCTATTTGCATAAACTGGTCTGGTATGCTGTTTAGTTCCTCAGAGGTAGCTTGGTGGTATCAGCCCCCTGCCCCTTGCAGCCCTGCTACTTGAAGGCTTTTTTATCTAATGATTACCAGAGTGCCCTCCTTGAGAGGGATGAATGGGCTTTAGAGGAGGTTAGAGACACCACACCCTAGGCTGACTCTCAGCCAAGACTTTCTCCATGGTGGGCAGACAGGTGGCTGGAAAGAAGCCGGGTAGAGAATTCCACTCTCACGAGGGATTAAGCTGGGCCCTCCCACACCTATACCCTCACTAAAACACCTGGTGATCTCCCAGTGGGTCTCAGATCACCCATAGACATGGGACACTAGGGGTCTCTCAGACCAGCTTTGTAAGCTGGCCCACATGGGCTCCCTAGGAGAGACAGAGTGACTCCAACCATTTCCCACTGTACAGGCCAGCTGAGGTCTGGCTGTAAGCCTGATGCCCAGGTCTACGAGAACCTCATCTGCAGCTACAGCAATGCCGGCGAGTTCTCTACCTGCTTTACGGAGCTGCAGCGGGACTTCATTAGCTCCCGTCCCACCAAACTCAAGAGCCTGATCCGGCTGGTGAAGCACTGGTACCAACAGGTTAGGCACAAGGGCCATTTATTGCCCAAATTCCCACACACGAATTCCCGCACACACATTCACAGTGAGGCTAGGTCCCCAGAACTGTGTCCTGAGTTCTTTCCGTGGAGGAGACAGGAGTCTGTTTGGCCGTAAGCATAGCATGTGAGATCAGTCACATTCCACAAAAACGACCTTGATTTATTTGTCCATAAAGTGGGGTTGAGCCAGGTCTTGTGCAGGCTTGTCATCTCAGCTACATAGGAAGCTGAGGCAGAAAGATAGAAAAGTCAGGGCTATCCTGGGCTACAGAGTGAGCTCAAGGATAGTCCAGCCAACTCAGCAAGAATCTGTCTCAAAATAAGTAATTGGCAGGCTGGAATACAGTTCGTGGAGGGGCGCTGGTAAAAGCTGTCTAGAATGTGTGAGGCCCTGAGCTCCACCCACAACACACCCCCCAAAAAGTGACGCTAACAAATTGTGTCTCTGTGCCAAGGGTTGATACCTGGCCAGTCCCTAAGCACACGGGTGGTTGGTTAAGATTTAGGGGTCCGTCTGTCAATTTTTGGGGTCCCTCTTACGTCTGTGTGAGACATTAGCTATTGTGTTGCCAACATGGACCAGCACATCATCTTTCTCTGGCTTCCCCAGTGCAACAAGATGGTCACGGGAAAGGGCTCCTTGCCCCCACAGCATGGGCTAGAGCTCCTGACCGTGTACGCCTGGGAGCAGGGCAGCCAGAACCCCCAGTTCAACATGGCAGAGGGCTTCCGCACCGTGCTGGAGCTGGTTGGCCAGTACCGTCAGCTGTGCATCTATTGGACCATCAACTACAGTGCAAAGGACAAGGCCATCGGTGACTTCCTGAAGATGCAACTTCAGAAGCCCAGGTTGGTCACCCCCAGACTCCTCTACCTCAGACCCACAGTGCTCACTTCTTCCTGCCTCCTTTTCATCAGCAGCCTCCAGGTTATATAAGCATGTGTTATTCTTCACCTTCTCGCCCACTTCTGAAATGGGGACGGAGATAAGCAAGATTGTCCCTGAAAGTCCATTACACTGACAGCTTGTGGGCAGTGGCAGTGTCTACTGAGAAGAAGTCTGATGTAGGATATACATTAGCTAAGTGATGGTGTCTGCATGGATGCTGGGAGAGTCAGTGACAGAACCAATGCTGTAATTGCTTAGCAATGTCTGCTTCAGCTGTAGAAGGGGGAACAGCAGCACTGTAAGTGATTAGTAATGTCTGCCTGAACACAGCATGAAAAAGTGGTGCATAATGCAACTGCTTTTCCCCATTTCCATCTTTCCTTCCTTCCTTTTTAAGGACTTTTTTTTAATTTTTATGTGTGTAATGTTTTGCCCGCTTATATGTATGTGCACCACGTGTTCAGTGGCCATGGAGGTCAGAAGAGGCACCAGATCCTCTGGAACTGGAGTTACAGAGGTTGTGAGCTGTCTTGTGGGTGCTGGGAACTGAACTCAGGCCTTCTGGAAAAGCCAGAAAGTGCTCTTAACCACTGAGTGATCGCCCCCGTTCCCCTCCCCCACCCCTTTTGAATAGACTGTGTAGCCCAGGCTTCTCTAAAGTCATAGTCCTCAGGCCTCTGCCTTCCGGGTGCTGGAATTACAGGCATGAGCCACCGCATCCCACTCCACTTCTTCTCTACCCCTGCCCTAGATAGAGTGTGCACCTGGGACACAGATGAGTTCTGAGTCCTGACCCTGGGCCCTGTACTGTTAGGTGACAGTGGAGAACAGCCCAGCTAATGTCACAGGTAGACGTTGTGGGGATAAGACTGAGCCTGGGTACAATTGCAGACCCATCATCCTGGATCCAGCTGACCCAACAGGCAACCTCGGCCACAATGCCCGCTGGGACCTGCTTGCCAGGGAGGCTGCAGCCTGCACTTCTGCCCTTTGCTGCATGGACAAGAACGGCAACCCCATCAAGCCATGGCTGGTAAAGGTGAGAGGCATGTGAGGTAGACAATGCATCCTTTGGGAGAGGGCATGGTCATGGGGCAGACATAGGCACCCATAGTCCCTGTGGACCCTGTGCCTCTGCTTCCTGCATGTGGTCTCAGCTATGTAGAAATACTGAGGTAACCAGCATGTCTTCCTTCCCACAGGCATCTGTGTGAAGTCCAGAAAGATCAGTGGTCACACCGGCTGAGAGAAAGTGAACCAGCCCTCAGCATGGGGGACCCAGATATGTGTGTGTGTGTGTGTGTGTGTGTTTGCATGTGTATCTGTCTGTCTGTGTCTGTGTGAGTCTTCATGTATATGTATGTATTTGTGTGTATGTAGGTATGTATATATGTATGTGTGTTTCTGTGTATGCATGTGTATGCATGTGTATGTGTATATGTGTGTATGTATGTGTGTGTGATGTGTATGTGTGTGCCCCACTGTCTCCCATCTGATTGCCTGCTCACCCACCACCATCTCATTCCTCCCCCATTTACCCACCTAGTGGGGCTCATTGACCTCTACTTTGATCATCCCAGTGCCCCAAACTCCCATGCTAGGCACCCTAGGATCCAGACATCTCAGGCTCTGCCAGTCTGCTGTTCAGCTACCCCTGGGCCCTGCCACCACCCCTGCAGCCTTACCCAGCAGCACTCCAGCCCTGCCAAGAAGCAACCTCCTCTCTGGCATCTCTCCACCTGCAGAGACCCACCATCTGTGGTCCAGCTATGTCCCTATGTAATATGACCATGATCACCATGGGGCAGAAACTGTGATGGTGACTACAGAATATCCGAACCCACAGTCATGGCAATGAAATGAGCAAAACGAGTGATAACTGGGCCTTAGGAATGTAGGAGGAACAGGAAGGGTCCCAAGCCTCACTTGTGGCCCCTCCCACTCCCTCAGTAGGTAGTGTCTAGGGAGGGGAGGGTATGTGAGAATCACAAGAGTACAATTTCCCTGACTCAACACCCCTGAAGGTTGAGGCTTTTTGATAATTCGGTACTTAGGAGTCGCTCCTGCAACCCCAACTCATGCTCTGTAAGTAACCCCAATAAACTCATTGACTCACCCACTTAGACTCAAGTGGGATCTTTTCCTCGCTCAGTCATTGTAGCCTGTCTGGGATGAACAGACATTTGCTCACATCTCCCCAGGAAAGGTCATGCCACACCACCCTGCCTCCTGTTGTCTGTTCTTCCCAAATGCAATAGCAACAGGGGCCCTGGTGGGGGCAGGAAGGGGTGGGCTTGCAAGCCCTTGACCCATAAACTTAATTTCCAGAAAGAACCTTCACCTTCACCACACTATGCGTGGACTATGGATGGATGGTGTTTGTCCCTCTCTCCCTGATCCCCTCCAGGGCCAGGGTGATACCAGGCTGTCTCCAGGACGAATGTCTAACTGTCTGTCTTACATGGGGACATGCCTCCAATCCCCTAGAAGAGTCTAAGTGACAGCTAGGAGCTAGGGCAGTGGAGGACAGAGAGACATAACCTATGAATGTCCCAGCCCTGCACACAGGAAGCAGGTAGAAGACTCTGGGGGCAGAGTGGCCACAGCAGGGTCCTCCAGAGAGACCACCTGGGGGGTGGGCATGGTAATGATCCTTCCACTGGAGAGGAACAAGAAACAGAAAAAGGAATCCACGCTTGTCCACCCCCCCACTAGGAATGTCTCAGACAGCCAGGCTCTCTCTGAACCACAGCTGGGGACAGGCCAACAGGGATGCAGGATAGCCAGGATGACAACGCCTTCCTAGTACTTTCAGCCTTGCAACCCTTTCCTGCCTCCTCAGTTTAGCCCACAGTAACCAGCCTGGGTGAGGTGTCAAGGGTCCCCAGGCCCCCTCTCTGTCGCCACCTGTGTCTCCTGCTGTTGGCTCCAGGGAACCCCACTGGGGTTGGTCCCAATTTACCTCACCTAGCCAACTCACTGAGAAAGCAAACCAGACCCTAGATTATGTCTCTTGATGGCTACTGGTCACCATCATTCTCAGAGCTCTAGACTGGTGGTCCTTAACCTTCAGAATGCTTCGACCCTTTAATACAGTTCTGGGTACTCATATGTGGGCATATCGGCATGGGCGGGCCCACCTGGAGATGGACAAAAGAGCAGTGTCTCAATTCCTAAGACCTTTGGAAATATGTATTGTGCGATCATCTTAGGAGACCCCTGTGAAAGGGTTGTTTGACCCCAGTGGGGTGGAGAAACAGCTTGAGAAACACTGCTCTAGACAAATGTGACCAGCAGAGATCTATTTTTCCATGGAACCCAGCAACGGATGAAGTACTGACCTAGAGTCCCAGCCCCTGTCCCCACCACACAGACTCTGGGCCCTCCTATCAGATGGCTCCAGTACTGGGGTGACTGTGAGCTGGACGAGTGAGGAGTGAGGTCATGACCATCTAGGCAGCAGAGAGGCCTTGCTGACCTAAACCCTTCCATCTACGATAGCAGCCAGCATGGTAGTGGCAATATGGATCCATTGAGCTTGATTCAGGCCATGGCCCTGGGGAGAAGGTCCCCATGGGCATAGCTTGGGCTGGTTGAGGAAGTTCCTCTAAGTGAGCCAGAAAATGACTGCAGGGGACACTAGCAGCTCCCGGGGACCCTGCCTTGGCTTCCTGAGTGCTAGGGTTGCATATATATATATGCAACCCTAGCACTCAGGAAGCCAAGGCAGGGTCCCCGGGAGCTGCTAGTGTCCCCTGCAGTCATTTTCTGGCTCACTTAGAGGAACTTAAGAGTCCTTCTGCTTTCAGGGTTCCTGTATGGGAGCCAATGCTTTGTTATGATGACACAGGCACTCATGTGGATGCCAAAGGGACTGGCAAATACAAAGTCACTGTGCCTTTCCCAGTGAGCTTTCCAGGAAACATCTGCAACATAGGACAGCTAAACACAATATCCCATCCTACCTTGAAGGAAGATGCTACAAATAGTCTATGAGAGGCTGAGGCAGGGGGATTACCTGTTCAAGGCCAGTTTGGGCTACATAGAAAGGCTCTGTCTCAAAACTCACACAAAGTAATTGTATTAAATTTGTATTGACAAAATTCCCTTGTTTTTAATTTGATTTTTAAATATTTACTCTGTGTGTGTGTGTGTGTGTGTGTGTGTGTGTGTTCGGAAGCTACTCCTCAGAGCACTATGTTCACACAAAGGCAGAAAAGTAAGCCTACATCTACTAGGACACCTGCCTTGCTGTGTGTCTTTGAGCATGTGAGTCCCTCTCTGGACTTTCTCTACACTCAGCCTAGCACTGAGTGCCTCAGTCTCTGGAAACAGGAGAAAAGAGCCAGTTTCCATGAACAGCCTCCACTTTCTATAAAACCAAATTAACTTAGTGGTTAGTGAGCTAGACAGGCTCCTCTGATTTACAGATGGAGGAGACAGAGACACCAAGAAGTCAGTCCTGCACTGAAGTGTAGTGGCATCTCGCCTTGCCAGTGGCCACACCCTTTGGGCATGGTTTCAGGTGTGGATCGGTGGGCACTCTCTTGGGTAGTGGAGAGCATCAGAAGCACAGAGACTGCATCTCCGGGAGCAGGAAGGTGCAGGTACAGCAGTAATTTACTCTTACCTGTGTAAGTTGTTCCCCAATAAAACACCTATTTATCTTTATCTTGGATCTGGTAAACTCATTTAAACCCCACCTTCACTGAAGGATACACATATCTGTCCTCTGGGGAGGTGTCCCCCGAGGCTCTGGAGGTTTCAGGGTTAACCTGGGGTGTCCCTGGGAGTGGCTGGCCAGCAAGAAGCTCCCCCCACCCCCAGCAGCTGCTGGGCAGTGACTCCTGACACTTGGGTTTCGATTTCCTAGGCCAGGCAATTTTGGTCTCAACTTCCTCTATCCAGATCAGGGCAGAATCCCCAGGACCTACAGCCAGCTAGCAACTATGGGAAACTGGTTGGCTGGGGGATCGTCTGAAGAGTTATCTGGGGGATCCTCTGAAGAGTTATCTGGTGGGTTGTCTTACTTAACCTCAGTGCCAGCGCACAAGCTAGAAGAGTTTATCCAGGCAAACCTCACACCCAATGAAGAATGTCTGAAGCTGATAGACCAGGATGTGGATGACATCTCTAACTTCCTGCTGAGCTCTGAGATCACTGTGGTGAGAGTGGCTAAGGTGAGGCCCAGATTTGGGGCCAGGGCTTTGGATCCCAGGAGAGTTTGCTCTCCCCCAATACCCCCACTCCAACCCTGCCCCTGCCATGGGGGTGGTGCTGAGCACTGCTCCACACCAGGCACTTCACAAGGCTTTTCTCCTTCTGAGGACACAAAGGCAGACAGTGCAGGGGCCCAAGCTACAGCCAGGTCATCTTCTGCCTGGCTACATGACTCTGGCAGGCTGCTTCATCTCTCTGTACCACAGAGTCCGGGTCTGCAGAGTGAGGGTCAGCCTAGACCCCTCTTCAGAGTGTTGTAACAGTGAGGCACACAGTGTTCTTAGCATCGATCCTCAGTAAATTGGTGGGGACTGGTTCCATGCACATGTGCACTTCATTGTGTGTCATCTTTGACTCCACATTTGTGAGAGTTTTGTTCCTACAACCATTTTTTGTTGTTGTTGTTGGTGGTGGTGGTGGTGGTGGTGGGTTGGTTTTTTGTTTTTTGTTTTTTTGTTTTTTTGTTTTTGTTTTTTTTTTCCAGACAGGGTTTCTCTGTGGCTTTGGAGGCTGTCCTGGAACTCGCTCTTGTAGAACTCACCTGTTTTTCATTCTTGTATGGTACTCCACTGTATGAAGTGTTTATCATATTGCAGTTTTGAGTTGCCTCCAGTTTGGAGCTAGCATACAAGACACTGACCCCCATGCAAATTAGTGCTGGCAACCTGATTTTAAAATGGTGGTGACATTTGGGGATTTCACTGGACATAAGAAATATCCCTGCCTAGAGCTACAGAAATCCCAAACCTCACACCTGATGCTTCATTCCTTGCAGGGTGGCTCCTATGGCCGAGGAACAGTTCTAAGAGGCTACTCTGATGGTACCCTTGTTCTCTTCGTCAATTGCTTCCATTCATTTGGGGATCAGAAAGCATATCAACATCTACGCATCCACTGGATTGAACAACTGCTAAAACACCATGAGAAATATAATAAGCCAAAAAAGCTTGGGAACATCCTTGAAATCCAACTGTCCGTACAAGGACAGAGTATACTCTTGCAGCTACTTCCAGCCTTTGATCCTCTGTGTGAGTGCTCTGGGATGGAGGGGGGCCCCCAAACTTTCCCGGAGTACTGGGGAACCACAGGCAGAGGCTATGACAGACGATTTCCAAAGTGGGGCTCGTAAACCCCATCTTAGTCACTGTTCGTTGCTGTGAAGAGACATCATGACCAAGGCAGCTCTTATAAAAGAAAGCATTTAATTGGTGCTTGTTTACAGGCACGGAGGGTTAGTCCTTTATCATCATGGTAGGAAATAGACAGGCACAGCACAGAGCAATAGCTAAGAGCTTTATATCCTGATCCATAGGCAAGAGGAAGAGAGTCACTGGGCCATGTGTGAGCTTTTGAAACCTCAAATCCCATCCCCAGCAACAAGGATGTCCTCTGACAAGGACACACCTCCTAATCCTTCCCAAACAATTCAACTGGGGACTAAGCATGCAAAAACATATGAGCCTCTGGGGTCACCACCAAAACCCCCAACAGAGAAGAGCCCTCCACCCTGGGCATACTCTATCTAGAACTTCATTCTCATCTCATTTACTTTGGATAAAATGTTCTAGACTCTTGGCTCTAAAGTGGAGCTTGTATAGGTGAGCAGGTGGATGGATGGATGAAGGGTGGATGGATAAATGGCAGGGAAGAAAGTGAACAGATAGATGGAAGTGGATAGCTGGGTGCTCACTTGATGTAGGTATGGGCAGAGGGATGGATGTGGGAGATCTGTGTATGTGTGTGAGGATGTATGGATGGATGTGTGGGTGTATGTGGAGGAGGGGAAATGGATGGATGCATGCTTGCATGGATGTAAGGATGGTGGACAGATGGGGAAACGGATTGATGCATTTCTGGATGGATGGGCGTGTGAATGTGTGGACAGACAGACAATGAACTGATACATGTATATATGCCTAGGTGGATGGATGGAAGTCAGGTTGTATAGACAGATGTAAAAATGGATGGATGTAGGAATGGACAGATACATGGATGGGAAAACAAAAGGACAGGAATGTGTGGTGGCCATGCTGCCAATGGTGGACTCAATAAGTCTGACAGCCCAGGACTTCTGAGTTGGAGGCTAAGGTGCCTCCATTGTCCACAATTCTGAGGAACTTATGGATTACTGGGACCTTAAATACCCACCACCTGACCATTTTCTGACAAGATGGAGATGTACACACGCCCACATGACAGCATTCTCGGGAAGGTGGTCTGGGTTAGAAAATGTGCCACCGTTGCATGAATCCTTCTCATCTGTTAGGGTTGAAGGTAAAATATGTTTGAGCACTTGGTCCCAGCTGATTTGGGAGGGTGTGGAGCCTGTAGAAGAGGGAGCCTCACTAGAGGAAGTGGGTGACTGGGAAGTGAGCCTGGAGGGTGGTAACCCCAACCCTGTCTCCAATCCTGACCCCAGTTCCACTTCCAATCCATTTCCTGGTCCGAGGAGGGAGAATTCAGCATCATGTTCCCCGGGCACGATGGCTGTGCCCTCAGTGAGCCAAAAGAAAGCCTTCCCTTGGGGCTGGAATGATGGCTCAGAGGTTAAGAGCACTGGCTGCTCTTCCAGAGATCCTGAGTTCCCAGCAACCACATGGTGACTCACAACAATCTGTAATGGGAACTGGTGCCCTCTTCTGGCCTGCAGACAGAACATTTTATACTAAAAGCAAGCAAGCAAGCAAGCCTTCCCCCTTCCGTTGCTTCTGTCAGATGTCCCCTCCCAGCTGCCAGAAAAGTAACTGATACATGACCCCATGGGTCCCTTTGTCACCAACTCTAAGATCAGAGCAACTAGCTTCCAGCCTGGCAATAGGAGACCAATCCACCCACTGCTGAAGGCAGATAAAGGAACTATTCACATGTAGTACCCAGGTACTAACAACAGGTGGCGATAGAGCTGAATCGTCCAAATCAAAGACCTTTTTTTGTTGTTGTTGTTGTTACAAGGAAGCAATAAATGTTGCCTTTCTAAGAAAATAAGACCCTACAGGGGGATTTCATAAATCGCTTCCTTTACTATATAAAAACCCAACTAACCTGGTCTACCTGTCTTTATCAGGTTAGATGGGCTGCTGTTGCCATGGTTTCTTTCCCCAGGACCTTTAACCCCAAACTGGCTCCAGCTTATTTGACTTCAGGTTGTTTCCCTCTTAGATAAGAGGTTTATAAGACTTTCATGTTACATCATTGCATAAAAGGCTTCAAATGTGCCTGGTATACAGTCAGCTTCCCACTGCTCTCTCCCATCAGGCTTTGGTGAGAATCCCAGCTCCCAGGTCTATCGGAATCTCAAAAGTTCCATGGATCAAGTTAGAGCAGCACCCGGTGAGTTCTCGGTCTGCTTCACCACACTACAGGAGCAGTTCTTCAAGAGATATCCCAGGAGAGTGAAGGATTTGATCCTGTTGGTCAAGCACTGGTATCAAGAGGTAATTTGTGTTGTTGCCTTGTTTGAAGAGAGTCTCGGATTGGCCTAGAACTCACTATGTAGACCAGGCTGACCTCAAACTCACAGGCTGCTCTGCCTCCCAAGTGCTGGGACCAAAGCCATGTGCCACCACACCACACTGTTACCTTTTTGATTGAGATCATTCACAGCAAGCAAATTTCAACGATAATAACAACATACTTCCATCTAATCTGATCTCCTTTTCAGCCACAAACCAAAATAAGAGTACTTTCTCAACCCAGGGACGGGAGATCGAAGTCAATTCAACAGGTTTAGTGGCAAGCACCTTTCCTCACTCAGCTCTCCCTTATTTTCAAATACTATAAATGGATCATATTGCACATAGGTGATAGCTTCCTTGTTTAACTCCATGTTTGAGAAATCCAGCCAATCATTACATGGCAATGGTTTTTCATTCCTATCTACTATTCCATTATAGTAATATACCCATGTTTTATCTCTCTGCTGCTTTTTGTCCTATGGGTAATTTCCAGGATGTAGCCTCTGTGACTTGGGTTACTGTTACTGGGGTGTCCTCTGATGTGTCTTTTGTAAACTTAAGGCCTTATTTTTCTTGGGTAAATATGCAGTAGAATCTTAGAGTCTCAGACACAGCCCCAGACAGCATGTATATATGTGTTTATATTTGCATAAGTGGACTCCATATGAAATATAGTGAAGAGTATTTACTTAGCTTTAATAAAAAATGCCAAATAGATTTTTTTTAAAAAACCACTGTACTGGGGCTGGAGAGAAGGCTAAGTAGAAAAGTACACACTGTGCAAGCTCAGAAAATCCCTACTACCTATGTAAAGCCAGGAGTGGCAGCCTATGTCTGTAACTCCGTGTTCAAGAGGCAGACACAGGCTGATCTCCTGTGCTCACTGGCCAGCCACTGCAGCCAATCAGTGAGCCCCAGGTTCAGTGAGAGGCCCTGTTCCAAAAAATAAGGTAGAATGACTGAGGGAGATACCTGACCTTGACCTCCGACCTACTCACACACACATTCACAAATACAACTCACACTCATACATACATGCACACACATACCTTCACACACTGACACACACACATTCACACACATATTCACTCACACAAAGCACATACATTCACATTAACACATTCATGTACATCAACACTCACACACACACATACACACAGTCACATATGTTCATACTCACACATTCATACACCTACAGACACCCACATTCACAATCACACATACTCACACACACATACATCCACACGCACCCACAACCCATACACACATACACCCACACCCATACTCACACACACTCACACGCACACCCTGTGAGCAGTGTGAGTGTTCCAGGTGTTCTTGCCGCACCTTTGTCAGTATCTGATGGTACTGTCACCTTGACTTCCAGGCATGGGGTATAGTGACATCTTCTAGGCTCCGGCTTCCTGATGGTCTTGTCTTCTCTCACAGTGCCGGAAGAGGATGACGTCCCCATCTCTGCAGTTGTTGTATGCACTAGAGCTGCTCACTGTGTATGCCTGGGAACAAGGCTGCCAAACTGAGGACTTTAACATTGCAGAAGGCATCAGGACTGTGCTGGGACTCATTAAGCAGTCATCAAAGCTGTGTGTCTACTGGACAGTCAATTACAACTTTGAGAATGAGACAGTCCGCAATACCCTTCTGTGTCAACTCAGGACCCAAAGGTACCCAGCTTCTGATCTGCAGCGGGCTCTGAGCCCTTGCTGACATTAGGGGGACAGACCTAAGGGTTTGGGTGGGAGGAGGACCTGAATCTGCAAAGGAGATTCAGTCAATGCGTTCCATGTCCTAAACCATGGTCAGCTTTGTCCCCCCTAAAGCCTGGAAGAAGGGACTGGAGGAAGGGAAGGAGTTCACAGCAAGGAACAGTGATACCTAACATCTCTGAGACGAGAAGGATGAGGAATCAGTGTGTCTGGGTGCTGCAGAACCGACAGCAGCATCTCCTGCGTGCGTGCGTGCTTGCGTGTGTGTGTGTGTGTGTGTGTGTGTGTGTGTGTGTGTGTGTGTGCGTGCGTGTGGAAGCCAGAAGTTGGTATCAGGTATCTCACTCTTTGCTTTATTTTTAGATTCCTTTATTCTATGTGTATGTGTGTTTTCCCTGTGTGTGTGTGTCTAAGAACCACATGTATGCAGTGCCTATGAAGGCCAAGAGAGGGTGTCAGACTGGAGTTACTGATGGTTGTGGGGCCTGGGACTTGAACCTAGGTCTTCTGCCAGAGTACCAGAGCTCTTAACTTCTGAGGGATCTCCCCGGCCCTTCTACCTTATTTGTTGAGTCAGGGTCTCTCACCGATCAGAGTCTCTCACTGATTTTCACCAATAGACTAGACTGGCTGGTCAGTGAGCCCCAGGCCCCAGCATCTGGTTTTTATATGAGTCTTGGGGGTCCCCAACTCAGGACCTGTTTGTGAGGCAGGCATTTTACCAACTGACCCATTCCCCAGCCCACCTTCATTTCAATTAAAGTTTGTGTGTCTGTGTGATTGTGTACCTGCATACACATCTGTGTGGGTGTACACCTCTTTGCACATAGAGGCCAGAAGAGGATATGGGGTGTCTTCTGTCTATTCCTCTGAGGCAGAATATTTTCTTCAATCTGGGCTCTGGCTTTCTCAACTAGGCCGGAAGCCAGCAAGCCCCAGAGATCCCCCATGTTGTTATGTGGGCCCCGAACTCTGGTCCTTATTACTTCGCACTTATAAACACTCTTAGTTTCTAAGATATCTTCCCATGCCTTCTTTTTATTGGGGGGGAGAGCAGGGGACAGGATCTCACTGTACAGCCCTGGCTGGCCGGTAACTTACTACGTAGACTAGTCTGACCTTGAACTCACAAAGATCCACCTGCTTCTGTCTCCCAAGTACCAAGATTAAAGATGAATGCTAATAAGCCCAACTCCAATTTCTGATAAAATTCCTAGACCTGTCATCTTGGATCCAACTGACCCAACTAATAACGTGGGCGAAGACAACGACCGGAACTGGCAGATGCTGACAGAGGCGGCCCAGGACTGGCTGTGCTCTCTCGGGCAGAATGATATGCCACCTGCACCGTGTTGGAATGTTCTGGTAAGAGAGTTTCCACGCTGGAGGAGCATCTTCAGGACACTGACCTGAGAGAGTGTGTCTTAACTGCCCATGTGACTACTGTAACACGGTCACACACTCAGTGTGGCTTAAAGCGCATCATCTTCATATTCTGACAGCCATCCCAAGATCCCTCCTGGATCTCAAGATCCTGCCTAGATCCCCGCCTTTCTAACACACAGGCACATGATATGCTCAGCTCTCATGGCTCTCCTACCCCATCTTTTAAAAATACTAAAAATATTTTTATGTTGGGCAGTGATGGCACAAGCCCTTATTCCTAGCAATCAGGAGGTAGAAACAAGAAGATCTCTATGAATTCCAGGACAGCCAGGATGGTTATACAGAGAAACCAGGTCTCGTGTGTGTGTGTGTGTGTGTGTGTGTGTGTGTGTGTGTGTGTGTGTGTGTACAAGAGTCTTTGCCTGAATGTATGTTATATCACATGTGTATAATATCCACAGAGGCCAGAAGAGGGTGTCAGATCCCCTGGAACTGGAACTGGAGGTACAGACAGTTGTGAGTCACCACATGGGTGCTAGAATTTGAACCTGGATCCTCTGACAGAACAGAGAGTACACTTAACCAATGAGCCACTCTCAAGTACCTACCATATCTTTTATCTCTGTGTTGTTATCTTACTAGCCTGATCTTCCAGACCATGAAATCCCCCCTCTCTTGACAACTGCTTCAGTCCAGGCCCAGGGACCTACATGCAAGGAGGAATGAGCATTTCAGTCACTTACATATGTATGTATATACTCGCATGTAACATGCACACTCACATATAAGCTCAAGTCTTGGCACCTGGAGCCTCACACTGTCACAGATGCATGCACAACGCTGAAACTTAGGCATACACTCACGTTTACACTAACCCAGGCACATACTCACACATGCAAACAGAACACGCATTCTTCAATATTCATGCTCAGCCTTGCACACATGTGCATTCCTGTGTGTACACTTGCATACGCTACATGCTCACACATACACATGACACATGTATGTAGGAGCTGGAGCACTGAAGATGCTGCCGCTGTCAAGAGGCTGCTAAGGTTCACAACATCAAGGGGCACCAAGATCAGCCTGACTGCAGAGCTAGGCATCGCTCTTGTCCACAGGCGGCTGCACCGCTCTCTGATAATGCTCTCCAGGAAACGTATCTACTGAGACTGCTCATCATCTGCACTCCCAGCTGTTTAAAAAGTGTAGCCTAAATCTATAAACTTATGGTTACAGCAGCGTTCAATCCGGTGCAGTCTCACAGAGCTGGAATGGTGACACCTGAAGCCTTGTTCCCTTTTCAAGCTTCTTGAGACTGTCATGTGTCCTGGTTCCTTCCTCCATCTTCAAAGCCATTAGCCCAACACCCTTCAGCCCCACCTCTCTGCATCTGAGCTCACATCTCCTTGTTCAAGTTTGACCCTCACACCTACCTCTTGGAAGGTCCTTGGGGATCTCCTCATGCTAGCCTAGGGCACCTCCCATGTCTGCATCCTCTCAAACCCCTCAGAAGGATCCATGTCTCTCCCAAGTAACCCATGAGAAACCAGAAGAGTTTTTGCTTGGTGGGAGGGGGGCAGAAGAGTAGGTATTGCCCAGCATCTCAAGAACATTTTTAGAGAATATCTGTGCAAGGCAGGAAGGTCTCTGCCAGAAAAGTCTCTGCCCACAATTTGGAAGGAGGCTGGCAAAAGGACAGAGGTGAGTTTTGTGCTGGCTTTTGGGCAGAGTCTACCAAGTTTCTCTCCTCCCCAGCCCACACCACTCTTCAATACCCCAAGCCACTTACTGGACACGTTCATCAAAGACTTCCTCCAGCCCGATGAAACATTCTTGAACCAGATCAAAAAGGCTGTTGACATCATCTGTACATTCCTTAAAGAGAACTGCTTCCGACACTCAAGCACCAAAGTTCTGAAGACTGTCAAGGTGAACTCTAGCCCTTGACCCTTTCCAGCTCTTGGGAGCTAAGGAGACAAGGGTGACAGGAGGCAGAATATCACCTTCTCTTTCTCCCTAGGGAGGATCCACCGCCAAAGGCACGGCTCTGAAGTATGGATCAGATGCTGACATTGTCGTGTTCCTCAGCTCTCTGGAGAGTTATGAGTCTCAAAAACAGGAGCGCCCACAGTTCGTCCAGGAGATCCGGAGGCAATTAGAAGCCTTCCAGCAGACCCAGAAACTGGAGGTGAAGTTTGAGGTTTCCAAGTGGAAGGCCCCCAGGGTGCTGAGCTTCACCTTGAAATCCAGGAATCTGAACGAGAGTGTCAACTTTGATGTCCTGCCTGCCTATGATGCACTAGGTAAGGGTGCACAGGCCCTAGCTCCTGATAAGATCTGCAAAGAGCAGAGGGAAAACCAGGAAGGGGTGGGGAATGAGCTGTAACTGTCTCCCAGACACCTGCATGCAATTCCATTCTCAGGTAAACAGTCCAGGCAGCCTCTAGGAGCTGTCTGCTCTGTTCTCCATGGTGTGTCGGGGATGGCACATATAGTTATATGCACACTATAGATAACATCCTTCATTTCCTCAGTGGAGAAGGGAATTACAGAAGAGAACATGGGGCCTTTGTGAGATAAGAGACAGGATATTGGGTGCAGAAAACTCCTGTCAGAAATCCCATGCACAGGTGAGAGATACAGATGGACAAAAGACCTGGATGTAGGCTGGGGAAATGGCTATGTTGTAAGAGTGTCAGCCGTTCAGTCATGGGGGCCTGAATTTTATCCCCAGCACCTGTGTAAAAAGCCAGGTTCTGCTTAGGGCACACTTGTCACCCCAGTGCTGCCTGGGGAGGGGTGTGGGTTGAGAGAGAAAGGGTCTAGCTGAATCAGACAGGTTCAGTGGGAGACCCTGTGAGGATGGGATAACATGAAGGATGATACAGCAGGACACCCAGCAGCCCCCTCAGGCCTTGTGTGGAACTTAGAGGGGAAAAGGGTTTGCTTGGCTTACACTTTCAGATCTCAGTCCATCATGGAGGACCATGAAGGAGGGAAGTGTCAGGGCAGAAACTCAAGGCAGGAACTTGAGCAGAAACCATGGGGGAGCACTGCTTGCTGCCTCACTCATAGGCTTATGCTTAGCTAGCTTTCTTATTCAGCCCAGGACCACATGTCAATGGAATGGTGCCAACTAGTGGGCTGCCCCTGCCTGCATCAATAACAACTTCTCAGATTTACCCTAGGCTGTTTCCTTCTCTCTCTCTCTCTCTCTCTCTCCTCTTCTCTCTCTCTCCCTCTCTTCTCCTCTCCCTCTCCTTTTTCCTCCTTAACCAGTATTTGGGGCTGGAGCTGAGGTTAAAGCTCAGAGGCAGGTAACTTGGCTAGCATGCTCAAGACCCTGGGTTTGACACAGCCCTCCCCCACTGCAAACAAAAAACACCTGTTTCAATTTCTCTCAGAAAAGAGACAGGAGTATATAGAATGGGATTCAGTCCACTTTTGTTTGTCTGTCTGCTTTTGAAAACCATTTTAGTTTGTCTTCTGTTGCTGTGATAAAACACTGGCCTAGCTGGGCTTTGGTGGCACACCCCTTTAATCCCAGCACTTGGGAGACAGAGGCTGGCAGAATCTCTGTGAGCTCGAGGTCAGCCTGGTCTACAGAGTGAGTTCCAGAACAGCCAACATCATTACACAGAGAAACCCTGTCTCAAAAAAACAAATACATGAATAACTAATAAGGTTTTTGGAAAACCACACTTCTGAGGTCTGTGGACATATATTCATTGGTAAAGATTTTGTGTGACATGCCTAAGACCTGGGTTCAACCCCCTGTAGTGCATGACAGTATACACTTGTAATCTCAGCACTTGGAAGGTGGAGGCAGGAGGACCAGAAATTCAAGATCATCTTTGGCTATGTATCAAGTTTCAATGCCAACCTGGGCTACATGAAATCCTGTCTCAAAAAAAAATTTTTTTACTCTGTTGTTTACCATACCCCTTAGGATCTAATGGACATTTTGCTCCCATGTTAGGTCAACTGTATTCTGGCTTCACCTCCAGGCCCAAAGCTTACAAGGAGCTCATTGAGTTGTATAGATCATCGGACATCTCCGGAGGAGAGTTTTCCACCTGTTTTACAGAGCTACAGCGCAACTTCATTGAACCCCGGCCCACCAAACTGAAGAGTCTGATTCGCCTGGTGAAGCACTGGTACAAACAGGTCAGCCAGCCCCTGCTATGGCCAATGTGGTGGTTGTTTTTACCAGAAAGCTAGGACACAGACTTTGCCAAGGGTCCTGAACACCCAAATCCTCCCATGCTAGGGGCTGGGCCTCTTTAGGGAAGCTGTCTCCCATGAAGCCATGGGTCTTCTGATTGTATTCCGCTACTCATGATATTTGGGTCAGGCCTATGGGCCTCCTAGCATCAGAGCCATGTATGGATTTGAAAGTCTTAAAAATTAGCAAAGAAACATAGCCCAGAAACTAACCAAGGCTACTACTATGACTTAGTGCCTGGAATTTACCAGACGCCAGCAATTACTCCCTTACAAGGCCATAAGATAACTGGGTCCCAAGAATTCCTAGATGGCCACCCTCCCCGAGGGGCTCATGAAGGAAACAGATTGCCCCAACGGCCAATGTATCAATAATTAACAGTTAAGGGTCCCTATGAAACAAAGAGACAGCAATTACTCCCTTACAAGGCCATAAGATAACTGGGTACCAAGAATTCCCAGATGGCCATCCTCCCGGAGGGGCTCATAAAGGAAACAGATTGCCCCAATGGCCAATGTGTCAATAATTAACAGTTAAGGGTCCCTATGAAACAAAGAGATAGCTACCATTTGCTCAGGCAAGATTAGTTAGCACATCCTGAGGTCTGCAGGTTTTCAACTGGTGGGTCAGGAGGCCATCTGATTCCCAGCCCTCCCCTCAAGACAAAGGTCCTCCTAGGAACCCATGACTCTGGTCACATACTCAATGGACAGAGAGTCGAGGCCCCTCCCTAAGCTTGTGGGTTTTGCCTTTAAAAACGCCTGTGCCTGGGGGACGGGGCTGCTCTCTAGCCTGCATGTTGAGAGAGCCTGTTTGTACAAACGTCCACCTTTCATTAAAGCTTCTAGCTGTTTGCATCAAGTTTCTGCCTCTGCATGGTGATTGGGGTGGCCACGGTCCAGGGAAAAGATCCTGGAGGCCTGAGCTTCCGGGCGTCTTAAAGATTATTCTCACGCTGGCCAAAGAATTCAGCAGCAGCTAGATTTCCCTGAGAAGTATAGATGTAAGTTAAGGTGTGTGACTCCGGTTGTCAGGACAGCAATATAGACACCATATTGTCTCTCAGAAGGCAAGATGAAGCTGTGGCTGAGACTGGCGTCATCACAGGTAGCCTGAGACATAAGGGCTGGGGAGCTCTGGTTTGAATTTCAGCAAGTCAGGTGACTCCCTCATGCCCCACCCCCAATCAGTCAGTGGTTACATTGTTGTCCAAACACAAGGCACAGTGTGTGCCACCCTGCCTGTGGCTGAATCTAGCACGCTTACCTAGGACTCAGGATCTTCCTATTTCAAGTTCTACTTCATAATCTTGCTGCCCTGCTGCAACCCAAGCAGTCCATGAGACCAACTGGCCCCCTCTTGCCTGGCCAAGGTCACCTGACATATCTATTCTCCCCATCAGTATGAAAGGAAAATGAAGTCAAAAGCATCTTTGCCCCCAAAGTATGCCCTGGAGCTTCTCGTCATGTATGCCTGGGAGCATGGCAGTGGCTTAGAGGATTTCGACACTGCCGAAGGCTTCCGGACGGTCCTGGACCTGGTCATCAAATACCCACAGCTCTGCATCTTCTGGATGGTCAACTACAACTTCAACGAAGAGCCGATGAGGACATTCCTACTGACCCAGATCCGGAAAAAGAGGTGTCTGTGCCCCAGCCTCCCAGCCTCCCAGCCTCCCACCCTGTTGTGAATTAACCCGATTCCCTTCTGTGCTATTTCTTCCATGACCTGGATTCTTCTTCCCAGTATCTGGTTCATTCCCAGTGTGAAATTGAGAGAGGAGCTGCCAGAGAGTAAACCCAACCTCGGGAGTGGGAGGGACTTACCAATCAGAAGGGGGAGGAGTTTGCCCACCAGGAGTGGGAGGGGCTGGCCAACCAGGAAGGTTTAGAAGCAGAGGATGCCTGCATTGCTTTTTAACTGTTCTGCTGTCTGGAAATGTAAAATGTGTGCGATAGCCTATCTGAGAGTAGTCTGAGGTAACGGGATATCCCTGAGGAACAGCATTGCCATTCCCAGGCCCATGTGTGCACAGCACAGCAAGTCAGAGGTCCACTTTTGGGAGTCAGCTCTCTCCTCCTACACTGTGGGCCCTAAAGGATCAAAGTCTGGTTGTCAGACTTAACATAAGCTCCTTTTACCATTTAGCTAGCCCCTATTATTAGCATCTTCATCAGATCTGCTTTTCTAGAACTCACTATGTAGACCAGGCTGGTCTCAAATTCACAGAGATCTGCCTGCCTCTTGCCTCCAGAGTGCTGGTATAAAGGCATGCACCATCACTGCCCCAGTCAGGAGGATCTTAAGGCTATCTTACAGGGTAGCCTTGTCTCCATAACAACATCTTGAATTAGTGGATAGCCTTGTTTGTGTAGCAAAATCTTGTCTCAAAAACACTAAGGGGGAGGGTCCTCAGACTGTACTCTCAGTACTATGAACAGGAAACAAAGATGGTGGAAGAAAGGAGGGAAGGGAGAGAAAACAAGAGCAAAGGGAAGAAACAGGAGTGTGAAGAACAGGTGCTCTAGACAGACAGACAGACAGACAGACAGACAGACACACACACACCCCAAAGGGAAGAAACAGGAGTATGAAGAACAGGTGTTCTCGACAGACACACACACACACACACACACACACACACACACACACACACAGACACAGAGACAGACACACCACCACCCACCAGTGCTGACGTACTTAACAACACTGTACTCTGACAGTCTCTTGAAAGAAGTCATCACTACAATTCACCATGTAAGGCAAATTAACAGCGTTGTGAGGGGTTTTTGGCTTTCAAATATAACAATTCTAGGAAGTTACTTTGATTCAGAATAGATTCAAATGTTTGGCCTGAGCTGGCAAGATACATTGTGTCATTGATCCAAATAGGACCAACCCCAATACTGAGGCCAGAGTTCTTGAAAATAAACAACACTTTCATCGTTTCTATCTCTTCTTCAGGCCTGTGATCTTGGACCCAGCCGATCCCACAGGCGATGTGGGAGGAGGTGACCACTGGTGTTGGCATCGTCTAACTGAAGAAGCAGAGAAGTGGCTATCCTCCCCCTGTTTTGACTCGAAACCAGGACAAAGTATACAGCCATGGAAAGTGCCAGTAAGAGTGCCCTGAAAAAAGTGGGTGGCCTGTCACAAATCCAATCAAAGGGCTTTCTAGCTAGAGTGATTTGGAATTACTGAGCACCCCAAAAAATGAAAACTGTACTCCAAGAGTTCAGTCAGTCATCTCCCCTGCCCCAGGTACCTAGAAACCCAGAGACAGGTGACATAGTGGGGACTGGTCTCTCCAGGAGGGATCTTGCAGCAAGGCTATCCTGTCCTGTCTTTTGTCTAGACAGTGCCTTGTTTCCTATTAGTGCCTTCATGCCAACACCACTCATGTGCCCAATCAAAATGCCTGCAGACACTGTCCATTGTCCCCTGGAGGTAGGGACACCACTCTCTCTGGCACTTACCCTTTGGGACTATCCTCTTTGGCTGATTTTAGCACATGTAGCCTTGAACCCCGAGTGGGATATGTGGACAGTGAAGCTTCCTCAAGCTGCAAGATGGAAAAAGAACAGATAACAGAGAGGGGGGATCCTGAGGCAAGATGCACACAGTGCACATACTCACACATGCAAACAGAAGACTCACGCTTGAATATTCATGCTCAGCCTTGCATACGTGTGCATTCCTGTGTGTACACTTGCATATGCTACATGCTCACACATATACATGACACATGTACTCTCATGTGTGCATGCCCACCCTATACAGCATCTGAGCTGTTACTCTCATGTGTGCATGCCCACCCTATACAGCATCTGAGCTGTAGGAGCTGGAGCACTGAGGATGCTGCCGCTGTCAAGGGGCTGCTAAGGTTCACAACATCAAGGGGCACCAAGATCAGCCTGACTGCAGAGCTAGGCATCGCTCTTGTCCACAGGCGGCTGCACCGCTCTCTGATAATGCTCTCCAGGAAACGTATCTACTGAGACTGCTCATCATCTGCACTCCCAGCTGTTTAAAAAGTGTAGCCTAAATCTATAAACTTATGGTTACAGCAGCGTTCAATCCGGTGCAGTCTCACAGAGCTGGAATGGTGACACCTGAAGCCTTGTTCCCTTTTCAAGCTTCTTGAGACTGTCATGTGTCCTGGTTCCTTCCTCCATCTTCAAAGCCATTAGCCCAACACCCTTCAGCCCCACCTCTCTGCATCTGAGCTCACATCTCCTTGTTCAAGTTTGACCCTCACACCTACCTCTTGGAAGGTCCTTGGGGATCTCCTCATGCTAGCCTAGGGCACCTCCCATGTCTGCATCCTCTCAAACCCCTCAGAAGGATCCATGTCTCTCCCAAGTAACCCATGAGAAACCAGAAGAGTTTCTGCTTGGTGGGAGGGGGCGCAGAAGAGTAGGTATTGCCCAGCATCTCAAGAACATTTTTAGAGTATATCTGTGCAAGGCAGGAAGGTCTCTGCCAGGAAGGTCTCTGCCCACCGTTTGGAAGGAGGCTGGCAAAAGGACAGAGGTGAGTTTTGTGCTGGCTTT